ACTGTATTTCTCTTAATATTTAAAACCTGACCATGGGCGTTGTAAAAAAAGCAAAATTAATTGGATTTAAATCAAATAAAAGTTCTGAACAATTATTATTATATCATTTACGGTAAAATCATCTATTGATGTTTCACATAACTGCGCTATTGGTATATCAGATTTATAAGGGCTACCTTCAAACAAACTCTCTTTTCATTATAACCTAAAACTTCCGTCAACAGGTCGGCGTTTCTTTCTGTCAATCCTTGTGACTTGGTTTCTTTAGTATGCGCACACAAAACATGCACATATTAATGTAGGTACGTAACTGAACTATTTATGTTTTTACACTATTTAATTATCTAGAATATTCGAAGCAATCAATGGTAAAGAGTCTGCGGACCGTCATGCGAGGTCAAGATCTGCCACTCAAATCGGTATATCGGAACCATACTGTGAATTAAATTGGTCTGCAACTGTCTCTAACTGATAAATGGTTTTCAGATAAGAGAAGTCACTACTGTCGCGACATTACAGGTAACCGTCAGACTAAAGAGCTGGTTCATCCCTAGAGTTATGATAAGGTATCCTTCTTCAGCAGAAAAGGGTTGACAGAACAAGCGACATTACAGCTAACCGTCAGGCTAAAGAACTGGTTCATCCCTGCAGTTATAGTAAGGTGTACTTCTTCAGCAGAACAGGGTTGAGGTTGCTGGTGGGATATTTAATCGGTCACTATGAACTGCATTATCACCTTAACAAAACGGGTCTGTCCGAAAAGATAGATTGTCGACTCTGCTTAGAAGCAGACGAACTTTCAGTCACATTCTCTGTGATTGCCCAACCTTGATCTGGGCCAGGAGGAGGTCACTGGGTCGAGAACTTCTCTAGCCTTCTGACATCAGGAGGTCCTCAACGGCTGACATTCTGGCTTTCATTCGGAAGGCGGAATGTCTTATGTTCGGTTAGGGTCTGTTGCACCACAACATGGTCAACCATGGTCACGGTGCTCCGCTCCGATAGAAACTGGTATCCTGTTTATTTCTAATTCTAATATTATTTATTAAATGTTCATTTATTTGACGCTAACTATTTTAGTAATGTAATAAGCAAAAAATTTATATATGGATTTTTGGGTACAACTATTTCCGTCTCACTTTTAGGAGTATGAGGAGACATATCCATATCCTCTCCTTGACTATGTCTATGCTCCTGAAAGCTTCGTTCGCTCTGTTTACCAATTAATTTAATTTTAAAAAACTTATGCAAAAAGAAAATTATATTAATGAATAAGTACAATGATTATGAATAATAATCGAGTAAGTTTCTTTTAATATTATTCAAGAAATATTTTATATTTGACGGGACATCAAAACTAAATAGGTTATACAATATTGAAACATCAAAGAACTTACGTTTTACTTCTTCCTTTTATATATTATTGTCATACCAAAAAACACAAATATTTTTTTCATACTTTTATTTGTTATTTAATCCACTTGACTTCACAATATTGTTATTTTGTTTATTTGCATTTCATCTTCATTGAAATGCCGATAAGTGTTTACGATATCATTTTCCTTTTGTATCAAGGAAAATCATTTCTCCATCTCTTTAAGCTGTCACTAACAGAGCAAAAGGATTGTTAAAAATAGCAGCTTACGTCTATGTGAATTTTTTTAATCCATTTTATTTTCTACGGAAATAAGTTTTACTTTCAAGCGCAAATAACATATAATTTAAATAAAAAATGTTTCGCTGATACTTTGACAAGAGCAAATTCATGTCTTTATTATGTTAAAAATTACTCTTCCCTTTTTTATCTGCCTTCCCTTCGTATCTTAATAGTTTAATGTTTAGAACATATTTATAAAATATGTAATTTAAGACGATATTACTTAAATTGCGTATTTTTTTAAGGTAAGAAATATTACATCACTTTGCAAAAATTGGGGCGGAGACATTCCCTAAAGGTTGCCTGAAATAATACTCATAATAAAAAAGGGGCTATAAGTAATTGAACCAAAAATCTACACCTTTCTATTAATGTGATGAATCGATGGTTGCAATATGGTCATGTGTACAGACAGTCCTTGATGACTTTTTTTAGTATATAATATAAAAATTGTTATAGTCCAGAGCTTCATTGATTGTTTCATTTTAATTAATTTAATAGTTTTTGTAAAAGAAAATTCTTCAAATGGCTTCAAATAAAATAAAAAAATTAAACTGAATAAAACTAATATTAATACCCAGGGATGCTCTTCAAAGGAATATATATTTTTTTCGCTTTCCCAACTCATTGAGAACATTTATTTGTATTTGAGTTTCAGTAAATAAAAGTTTTTATATTTACTTTGATTCGTTTATTTTGAAAAATTCATTTTAAAAAACAAATAGATTGAATATTTGTGAAGTTAAATGACAATAAACTGACGTTTTTATTTCGCAGAAGTAGTTTTTCCTATGTCCCAAACTTTTACATAGCAATTTTTAAATTTTCCGCGGAATATGTAAAATCAAGACAGGATTTTATAGTCCTGAAACAAGACAGGACTATAAAAAAATATGCTTTTGGATTTCATGATAGTACATAGAGTCAAATTTGATAATATTATATTTAGATGCTTGAAAATGATTTCAAAATATCCAGTATTATTGCGACTATATCATATAATAAATAGATTATTTTTTTTATTAGTAAAATACTCAATTGTCAAACTGCAATCTATTGATTCTTATAACCAGCGACTGACTATGCACTTTGCAAAGGATGATTATAGAATATTGTCAGGATGTACCTATCTTATAATAGGTATATAATACCTATATAAAAAACAACTAATATCAAATAAGTTGATAATATGTTTACATATCTTTTTTTTATATTTTATATTTTAAAAATAAAAATAGAAAAAGTGGTATATGTTAATTTTTTTTTTGCGAGAATTTAAGATATTTCATATTGAAGATGCAGGCTCAAGGCTCTGCTGCATGAGAAATTTGCCGAACTTGGTCACTACTAGACGTTTTTTTTGTAATATCACATAATTCGAGTTCATGCATATAATTCTCAAACTGTCGAAGCTTTGAATGTAAACATCTGTCACATTATGACCGAGCTTTTATCGACAAGTCACCGAAAATTACTTAAAAATGATCCTGTAGTGCAAGATGTCATTTGGAGCATATTTGAATAAAGGGTTATTTGAATAAAGGGTTGGAAGGGTTATTCACAAGTGTGCTTTGTTTATAATTTTTTTCGGAAACATAAAATGAATAAATGAATAAAATTAACTTTGAACGGCAAAGAACTTCCCAAAAAAAAAAAAGATATAAAAATCAAAGCTTTTTAATAAGCAGAGGATCGGGTATATCAACATTAAACCTAATAAATCTACATATAATAATTTTTAGATCTATATGGTGTTATTGCCTAGAATTATAGTTTTGTGTTCCACAACACAAAATCCATATCATGAAGAAATTTGTTTTGAAATTATTAATATTTGCAATATTATTAAATACGCGAGATTTGCTCAAAACGTTAATTTATATATTTTAAATATTAATAATGTGAAAAATAAAGCGATTTTAAAGCAAAAAATGCACCGAAATTACTACAACTGCCAGGGAAGTGAAGTTCTTCAAATATTTAATTGATCGGATTTATTTTCGTATAAAAACACGTTACGTGTACCTATTATTTACTAATTTGATAACGGGTTTCAGTACAGGTCATTATGGTCTGAAATATCACCTTCATAAACTACGATTGTCTGCTAATTCGGAATGCAGATTTTGCCTCGAAGATGAGGAGACTACTATGCATATTCTTTGTGACTGTTTAGCTTTATTAACACAGAGAAGAAATTTGTTTCATATGGAATTTATGTCACCAGAACAGATTAAGAGCTCTGCTCTAGATTTAGTTCTGGACTTAATTCACAAAGTTTTAAAGGGCTTTGTGTAATCAATAGAGAAATTGGTACAATAGGACCAGCTGCTGGACAATTTCACATCGAAGCTTTAATATTAATAATATTTATTACTAATAGGTATTAACTAATATAAACCAGAAATTTAATAACTAGTAATAGTGCAATCGATGACTATAAATAGTGACTATGAAATGTATTTCGTTAAAATACTTAACTTCTGATTGTAACATAAAGGTTTGCTATTTTAATAAAAAAAATAATAAAATATTATTTGATGTCTTCTTCAAAACAGTAAACAAAAAAATAGTTTAAAGCTTTGAATACTTATGATCTTTGAAAACAATTAGAATGAAGTTCTAGAATTCGGCTTATTATATTTTTATATAAAATTATGATTTAATTATAGTTTAATTATTTAAAAAATTTTTTTTTAAATTAAGCCCATTATGGCTTTATAGAAATTTAAAAGTTTTAACCAATAAGTTTGTTATATACAATACTTCAAGTTAAACTAATTAGAAGATATATTTATTTAAATTAAAAAAATTTTGATCTATATTTATATATGTGCAATACAAACAACTTTATAGTTTCTAGGTACATCTAATATAAGAGATAAATTATTGCATAAGTACAGTTCGATCTTTCAGTCGAACTGAACACATTAAGAGGAATAGATTTTACTTATCTGACTTGGTAAATAAAACGGTGAGGGTGCTACTTTAGTTAAAAACTGCAATTCCAGTAAAACCAACTGCGGCCTGCTGGAATTACTCATATTAGTACAGATGCAGCTAATAGTGCTGAAATCACATGTGAGTTTACATATGCAAATGGTGTTTGTATTTGCATGTTTGTGGAATTTATTCCGTATGAGTTTTGAATAATTTTCTACAGCTTCGAAATTTGCATACATTTCATTTAACTTGCAATGTACTTCACCACCAGAGAGAAGTGATGCAGATGGAAATAATTTCAATAGTTAAATTCATTTATTTTTTATAAGGAAAATTGCAATATTAGAAAATTTAAATTTGTCAAAATATATTTTTTGGTTAAAAAATTTAAAAAAAACAAGACAATATGATCTATATGATCTACTATTAATTAATTTTGAACCATTTTCTGAATGTATAATTCATAATGCGATTAACCAAGTTATCAATAGGAGGTGCTATAATTAGAATGGATGCTATGCCTGTAGCTGTAGGAACTATATTAATAATTCTCTTATATGCCTTTACATATGTGAGCAAACGTCCAGTAGTCCAAGTTATTCGATTTATAGTGTATCCTGATATTACAACGGATGCCATCATCTGCCATAAAATAGCATCGGAAAAAGTAATTAAAGCTACTCTATCACTCTTATCTGTGTTTCTTATTTTAATTGTTTTGTCTATTGCATCCGCGATGATATAACTTGTATCGACAAAATATAGCGCTCGTACTATCGAGACTCTGACAAGGGGTCTAAAGGCTTCACCTAATTCATTCGCGTAACCCAAGTAACGCAACCAGCTATGCCGAAAAATATCATAAGGTTCTGCGTCATCAGACATAGTTTGCATTTCTGAAATTTTTTTTGGTAAATTACACTTTAATTTGAAAAACCATTAAATATTTTTTTAACACTTACACAATTACTTATTAATGTAATACTTTTACATTTTGTATAGGATATCATCCTTGCATAACATACAATTTTATCTTGATCGTATTAGTTTTTTGAGTTCATAGCGATTGAATACAATTGTTTAAAAATTGTGCAATAGCAACCCTAACATTTTCATATATTTTTCGCACTTTAATTAAAAATTTAGAAATTTAAAATTTTTTGTCTAAAAATATTGAATTTTTCGTATGAAACAAATTTTAAAATTTGTATACGTCAGATAATTTATAATTTTCTAGAAATTAAAGTATTTTTAAATTTTATATTTTTAAAACTTATCGCAGCTAGAGAGCTAAGCTAACACAATATCTAGTCTTATCTCTTAAGCGCGGTCGAACTTGAACGTGCTCACATTCAACAGTTGTCGTTTATGCAATATTTTTGAAGAATAAGGGTATTTACGCACGCTGTAAGTGTGTTAGTGCAACCACGCAAAAATATGCTCTTGAATGACAAATGCAAGTTTTTGGATGACAGAATATCATTCACAATATATTGGAGAGAAGCTGAATGAACAAAATTCAAAGGTGCAGACTATAATTTTTGAGTGTCATTCAATGATTTCCTTTCCTGAATGAGACTCCAAAATTATAGTCTGCACCGCGCTTTAGACATAAAGACTTGGTTGCTGTTGCGTGCTTACGTTCACCTAGCTTAGTTGATATATCAAACATATTATTTATGTGAAAAATGTTACTTCATTAATTACTCTACCAGATATGGTATAACATAATCAGTTTTGACTGATTTTTGCATTGAACAATGCCTCAAATAGTTTTTTATTCATTATTGAACATCTGCCAGTATTAGGAATAAAATAGCTGAAGCACTGGTTAAAGACAAAATCTTCGATGCATTTGAACACCGAGCCAAGATACGGCAGAAAAACTTAACATTATATCGAAACCGAGAAATAAATGATTTGATTACCAATAACACAACTAACTTTTTTAATCGCTTTATCATAATCGAATGCATGCGAAGATTATAAATTAAGTCTAGGTTAGGTCAGGTTACATTGGTGATCCCCAGTGGATCCACTTAGGCCTATTGGCCCATTGTGATGCCGTATATAAAATAATGAAAACCTCAGGGTTTAAAACCACCTTTTGCAAAGCATAAAATGCTATTTCAAGTCAGATCCGACTTGAGATACGACGTGCATGAGCTTGACAAAAACACAAAAGATGAGATGCGCTCTCATCGTCCTCCCCACAGCTTCGACAAATTTGATTGAAAGGAAGGCCTAGTCTTTTAGCATGGTTCCCTAGTTTACAGTGTCCTATAGTCAACCCTACCAGAAGACCAATTTCTTTGCGGGACATCTCAATTAGAGTTTTCGATTTCCTTTTATCAGAAAGTGGCCAGATTGCATACAGATGTATATGTATCGTTGAGTCTTCCCATCTTTTGTTAAAGTATTAGTGCAGAAAGAACTCAATAACAATTTACATGATGTTAGCGATATGCCCAGATAGTCTAGGTGCTCCGAGTATGGTCCTAAAGCACCCCTTCTGGCTAACTCGTCGGCTTTGTAATTTCCGAAAATATCCCTATGGCGGGGAACCCAGATTAGAGAAATATTGATCTGCGTCGACATTTAGTTCAGAGATGTATAGCAGTCAAGAACCGTCCTAGATGTAAGTTGGACTGAACTCAAGGACTTTAATGTAGATTAACTGTCTAATAGTATGTATATATTCCTGCCAAATATATCATCTACATTCAAACAAGCTATAGATTCCCTAATGGAAGCGGTTCAGAATATAAAAAGTGATGTACATTTAGTAGAAAAATACAAGAATATTCACTACAAAGACGAAAAAGGGGAAAAAATCATTTTTGGTTGTAAGTTAATATCGTAAAAACTATCCTGGCTATTCAAAACAAGCATTATCAAGCATTATTACAAATTTGTACAAATACTTTCAAATTTTATATTTACAAATTTTATTATAAAAAACATTATGCATTAATGACAAAAAATTATACTCACAAAAATTAACTGTACAGGTGGATTATGTTAAAATATCGACATAAACGTTTGCAAAAAAAATTTTCGAAAAATGAGCTTAGTGTATTGAACGATTGTTCCGTTATTTTATAAAAAGATTATATAGGATTAATATTAACCAGATCGATAAAGCGGCTTTATACAACATTAGATCTTAGGAAAATGTTTGTATTATAGTAACATCAAATATTGACAGAAAATAAAAGTATTATTTCTTTTGTTCCAACACTTTATATAGAGATAATGAAATAATGAAAATATATATTATTTAAAAAAAATTTGTGTGGGGGCAATTCAAAATATTTTATATCCTCGGTCGCTTATGTTCATACATGTTAGATACACCGATTCAGCAACTTAGAAAAGAACTCGAGTTAAGACATAATCATCTTTTAGAAAAAAGTAATTTGTTTACCAGCAAATAATGCTATTTGTTCTATTTGAGCGGCCTGCTTTATTGAATAATATTTAATTTTCTTCTTTGTTAAAATTTATAACCTTTTTAGTTGTTAAAATAAGAAGTAAATAAAAGTTAATACTCCAAACACAGCTGGTTCAAACAGGAAAATATCTACAGAAGACGACTTAAAAATAAGGTTGAAATATTGAACACAACAAAAATTAGTGTAAAACAATTAAGAGTTACTTTAGTTTAATTTTTAACGCTCGACCAATAACTTCATTCTACTATAATAAATAAAACAAACTAATGTAATGATCCATCGCTTCGATGAAAATATTCTATGCGTATTGTACGTTCTGTGCGCTTTCACTATAATAAAGGAATATGATAACGTTTAATAAATTAAATTTAAAAAATATCAGATTTATTTATATGGCAACGTATCTTCAATGCCAAACTAAAATTTAATCCAATTATAATTTTTTATGGAACGCAGTTTTTGATAATTTTGTTAAAGATTTGAATTGAGATTAGAAAAATTTATTTCAACTTTAAAAATGTCATTGGAACTTTGTAAAAGATTTGATAGTACATGTCCTTTACCCCAAGATAGATTTAACTGTTCATTTTGAAATTCGCATAAATTTACTTACTTTACTTTTAACAAAGTAAATATTTAAATTTATTATATTATATACAAATTTATGTTATGTGCCTGCAGAACTCAACTTTAATCCATTTGAAAGAATTTGCATACATAGTGGCTTTCCCTTAAGTGGCCTTTAGACATCAACGCGCGTTGACAAACACACGAAGTTTTCTCTTGCCATTACACATTAAATTTACCAACAATTTTTTAAACACGCCTCCAGCAAACAATGCAAAATTTGTTCACTCATCAGTATTAAAGCAATCGCTGAAGTGTCAACAGCGGCTGCTATGCGTAATTTCCTTACGAAAAATGATGTTCTACATTTTATTTATAATTTTAATATATATATATTTATATTTATTTTTATGATTTCAATTTATATATTTATTTTTATATATATTATATTTTATATAATTTAATTTTTTTTTTTTGATATATTTTAATAACAAATTTTCCGTAAATGCACAATGCAATTAATATTTAAAACAAAATTTTCATTGTAACTTAATGTTTGGTTATTATTTTTTAGCCCAAGGTTATTAATATTTTAATTCTTCTTAATAACATGTTTTGGAAATTAAAAATTTTACCTAGGTAGAAAATACAAATATTTAAAATAAAAGATACAATTCATTCATATTTGCAAAGGATCGCTTGCTAACGACATCATGCGTGCATTTAAACGATGTTTACGCTTCTACTCCTCAAAATAAATTAAATTTTGCATGCCGACCAAATCCGACTGTATATGCAAAAACACGAGCGTGGTTGAAGAAATATCAAAATTTTTTGATTTTCGTCAACACATTTCTTAAAATTTCAAATGTTACTATTACACAAACAAATTTCGCATTTCACAAAGTAGGAGAAAAGTAGGAGAAAAAATTCTCATGTGAGAGCGATTTTTTAGTATATTTGTTGTTTTATCTGAGGCGTGTTTAAAAAATTTTTAAAAAATTAATACTCATATATATTCTCATCGAGACTTCATTACAAACTCCACTCCAATAACTTGAAGTACATTTTCGTTATTTGAAGAGGTTTGGTGGTTACTTTTAGTGCTGTTCGTGAGCGCTTATATTTAATTTGTTATTGATTTATTGAAACATGTTTTTATAATTTTTTTTTTTTTGATTTTCTAGAAATAGAATTCAAAATATATTTATATAGAAAATGTTCTATATATTTTCTATTTTTATAATTATAAATACATATTTCAATAGATATAGAATAGAATTTTCATATTTTTCCACTATGCTTAAATTTGCTTGTAGTGTATTTATTTTTCTGTCCTAACTTTAATCTCACCTTCCTATTTATGTTAAAACAAAGGCTGAAAAAATTATTATACATATATTATTAAATATGTTGTTTATTTTACATGTATATTAAATTTTGTAAAAATCCTTTTAGTTTACATAAATATATGTATGCACAACTAAAATTGATAGGCACAGTGTCGATGATTTATCATTATGTTGACAAAGTCAACTTATAATTTTGTCATTCTATTTATCATGCCTGGAACGTTGTTTGCTTAAAAAACTAATAAAAATATGCGTAGAAAATCTTTTAAGGACAGACAATGAATGATTCCTTTTATTGCGTTATACGAATATCTCATATAAATTTTCGTACTTGAAAAGAACTTTGAATATTTAGAATTGTGTAAAAAAGCACTTCAGACAGTCTGCAACATTGAAGTATATAAGATATTGAAACTGAAATAGCATAAAAATATGAAAAAATGTAAAAATAAAGCATATTTTATGTCATCTTGCTAATTACGTTTGCGTATCCAATTTGCGCTTCTCTATTAACTTATTTATGCTAAATACTCTGATGTGATATTTACATTAAAAGCTATGACAGCATAAGCCGTACTCTACTATCACTGCCTCTGCTGCTGTAATGGCTCAACTTTTGTGACATTTGACAACTTGACACCAATTAGAAATTCAAATCTCTTATCTCACGCGATACATTTTTGATTGCCTCAGCGATCATTTTTCGCAGTTAAACGATATTATGACACTTAAATGAAATCAACGAATTTAACTTTCACTA